GGCGCGGCACCCGCGCTGTGTCCCCGACGGCCCGCACCGCCTGCTCTTCTGCCAGCAGCTGGTGCGCTGCCTCGGCCGCTTCCGCTGCCCGGCGGAGGGCGAGGAGGGCGCCGTGGAGTTCCTGGAGCAGGCCCAGCAGGTGAGCGGGCTCCTGGCGCAGCTGTGGCGCGCGCAGCCCGCCGCCATCTTGCCCTGCCTCAAGGAGCTGTTCGCGGTCATCTCCTGCACAGGTGCGTGTGCGCGTGCGCGCGGGGGCCTGGATGTGCGCCCGGGCCGAGGGCTGTGTTGGCAGATGCTTCTGCTAAGCGTGCCGGTGTGGTGGTGTGGCGTGTGTGTGCGCGCAAGGGGCTAATGCACAGGTGGAGGAGTGCGATCGTCCTTCACTTAGTTAGCAGGCCTGTCCGGAGCTTCTACTGTGGGTGCTATCCAGCTGTGTGTGCTGGGCACACAGGGAGGACGAGACCCGGATCAGTCTGGCCAGAAGGAGGACCAGGGGGCTGAGCCCGACAATAGGAAGGGGAGGTCATCATGCCCTTTGGGTCCGGTGGGTTTCGTAGAACTGACTTTTGAGTCAGGTCTTGCGAGCTGGGCAGCACCAGGCAGCAGAGGCCAACATCTGGAGACACGGTGGAGCCTGTACATGTCAACTCTGAAATGTAAAATCTTGGTTCTCCATTGACAACTGTGCAACTTGGACTGTAGTATAAATGACTGAAATAAGATCTGTGCCTTCCCTGGTTATAGAGCTGTTCAGGGGAAAGGAAGGGAGTGCAGCTGGCAGGAGGAAGAACCAAGGCCCAGTGTGTAAGGACCTGGGTCCTTAGACAACTGGACGACAAGTTTTGATAACTAAATGTTCTTTCTCACCTCTAGGCCTTTGTCTATGTGGTTCCACCTGGAATGTCCTCCCTCCCCCCAAGTTACATAGTCCTCCTACCTGTTCTTGCCAGCTCCAATGTTATCCCTTCTAAAGGCCTTGCCTGTACACGCACAGTTGGGGTGAGTGCTTTTCTCTGTGCCTAGCACAGGACTGGGCCCAAAGCAGTGCCAGTGAAGGTTTGTTGAGTGAATGAGCTAAGATGGGATCAGAGGCAGTGATGCTGTAGGAGGCAAAGATGTGGCCCCAATGTTCTCTTTGCAGAAGCCCAGCCTAGTTCCTTGGCTGCATGAGGGCAGTGGGTGATGGGGGAGGTGAGGGGCCCACCTACTCTACTAAGCTTAGCTGAGCCCCGTGTTCCAGAGGAAGAGCCGCCGTCAAGCGCCCTGGCCAGCGTGGTCCAACACCTCCCATTGGAGCTCATGGATGGCGTCGTCCGGAACCTCAGTAATGATGACAGTGTGATGGACTCCCAGATGCTGACTGCCATCAGCAGGTGGGCTGAGGGCCTGGTGGTGGTCAAGTCTCTCTGCCTCCCAGAAGCCCCTTCCAGTGGGTTGGGTCACTGGGCTAGATTTAGTGTCAGAGGACCCGGGCCCTCATGCTTGTTCGTCCATCCATCCTTTCTTGAGCCCTGCTCTGTGCCTGGACCAGGGCTGGATGTGGGAGACACAGAGAGCCTTGCCCTAGTGGTATCTCAGGCTGGGTACCAACTGTGTGACCCTGGACAAGTCAGTGAACTCTCTGAGCCTCACTTTCCCCCTCTGAGGGGGGGAAATAGCAGAGGTGGTTTAAGAAGTTGTCAGGCTTTTGTGGGATCATATTAGAAGGTCAGGGTACCTTATGAAGTGCTTTCTGAGTTTGGTGAGTATGATAGACGGGGTTTGGTGCTTTTCAGCTCGCAGAGCTCTTGCACATCCCTCCCCTCCCTGAACGTCGTTGCACCTGTGATCTGGCCACACCTGCCCGTCCAGCGATCCCAGAATAGGCTGCCTGCACCCCTGCCTGCAGGTCTTTGGCTCTGCAGACCCCATGCACTGGGCGTGCCTCCCCGGCCATTGTTTCCATACCCATGCACAGATCCGCCATCTCGGTGGGGCCTTCCTGGATTCCTTGTCGTTAGTGGGTGAGGGTGCAGGCTCGGGACATAAGCTGCCTGAGTGCAGATCCTGGCTCTTCCACTGCTTACCTGTGTGACTTGAGGCAAGTTACTCAACCTCTCTGTGGCTCAGCTTCCTCATCTATAAAATGTAGTATAACTGAGCTCATCTTACAGGGTTTTTGCGAGGATTAAATCAGGTAAACTGAGATAATGGGTTTAAAGTCCTTAAAGTAGTGCTGTGGTAGTTGTTATAATTACTACTAATTTGCTGTCTCATTGTTCTACTTCTTTATAGTATAGTCTACTGAGTATAAAAATAACGGGAATAGTGACGTTTTCCTGAGCACCTGTGTGGTAGCTCATGCTCGGTGTGCACAGGCATTATGTTGTGGGGGTCAGAAGGGTTACCGTGCAAGGCAGATAGAGCCGTGCGTGGTGCAGAATGAGTACTATGTAAGCATTAGCTGTTACCTCTTTTAATTCATTCAACAGCCGTGTGAGGTAGGTATGGGCCCCATTTTCCAGAGGAAGAAACTGAGGCTAGAGAGGGTAAATGACTTGCTTCAGGTCACAGGCAAGGGTTTGCTGGAGCCAGAGCTTCTGGCCTGGGAGCAGTGCTCCTCCTGCTGTTGGGCCCCAGGGTCCAGGCGGAAGCAGCCGAAAGCCCTGCTGCCACTGCAGCCCAGTGTGTGTGGGGTGAGGTTTGGGGTGCTGAGAGGGCCTGGCTCCCCTCCTGCCGGGCCAGGAGCCCCCGTCTGAGGCGGGTGCCTGTGCTGGGCTTATTTGCAGTTCCCAGAGGTGTCTTGTTCATCCCACCAACCCCAGGGCCGCCCCGTGCAGGTGTGAGTCAGTGAGAGGTCTCAGGACATTATAGCTCGTCCCCACGCTCCCCCCACCCAGGCATTAGGGCCTCCCTGGTCCTTGTGCCACTGTTACTGCCCTCCCCAGGATGATCGACTGGGTATCCTGGCCCCTGGGGAAGAACATTGACAAGTGGATCATTGCACTGCTGAAGGGCCTGGCCGCTGTTAAGAAGTTCAGCATCTTGATCGAGGTTTCACTCGCCAAAATTGAGAAGGTTGGTGGGTACCTGTCCTAGCCCCCAATTATGGCGCTTCCTGCTAGTCCCTTGCCAGGGGCAGTGCAGGTCTGGGAGGCAGAGCACCGGGGCTGCCATCCAAGCTTGCTGTGACCTGGGACAAATCACTGCCCCTCTCTGGGCCTCAGGTTCCTGCTATTCATTCCTCTGACTGTTCATTCGAGAATGTGTGTCTGTCACTTTTGGTCTGTCCGTCTGTCCATCAGATATATAACTACCTTGCTGTCCATTTCGCCATCTTCATTCACCCAGGTCTGGGAGCCCCTCTGTGTTTTTGCTCTTGTATGGGTCTACTGCTTCAACTCTGGTGTCTCTGACCCCCTCTCAGGCCTGTGGCTGCACTTGGCTGTGGTCAGCCCAGCCTAGGAGACTCCTGACCAGGGACTCTCTTACAGGTTTTCTCCAAGCTTCTGTACCCCATTGTCCGGGGAGCCGCCCTGTCTGTCCTCAAGTACATGCTGCTGACCTTCCAGCACTCCCATGAGGCCTTCCACCTGGTAAGGGTCCCTGTGTGCTGCCCCAAGGACGGATGGCCCTGCATCCCCCATGGGTCTGGCTGGAGGCCAGATATGCTGTCTCTGTTGGGAGTGGGGTAAGAGGTCGGGGCTTTGAAGATCTCAAAGTCCTAAGTGTTAGGACTGGAGGAGACTTGAGACCCCATTTTATAGATGGGAAACTGAGGCCAGAGAATACGTATGGCCTCCCCATGGGCCCACAGTAGAGTGACAGGTCTAGCATGAGGACAGCTAATGTTCTCGGGGTGCCTGCTGTGTGCCAGGCACAGTGCTAAAGACAGTACATATGTTCATTCATTTAACTCCCAGAACATCCCCAAGAGGGAGGTCTATCATTTTCCCCATCTTTCTGGTGAGAAAACTGCAGTTTAGGGAGGTTAAGTCACTTGTCCCAGACACACAGCTGGTGAGCGTTCCAGGGAAGCTTTTAGCCAGGTGGGTCTGACCCTGACCCAGTGTCCTTCCTAATCCTGCTGTCTGCCAGCACCCATGTGGCCTGGCCTCTGGCTTGGGGCCCCTTTTCTGCTGTCTCCAGGGCCCTCCTTTGGGAAGGACAGCGTGCAGCCCTGGGGGCCACCCTCCTCCTGCCTCCTTCCCCAGACCTGCAGATGGGGCCCTAGATTCTTTTTTTTTTTTTTAAAGATTTTATTTATTTTATTTTTCCCCCCAAAGCCCCAGTAGATAGTTGTATGTCATAGCTGCACATCCTTCTAGTTGCTGTATGTGGGACTCGGCCTCAGGATGGACGGAGAAGTGGTGCCTCGATGCGCACCCGGGATCCGAACCCGGGCCACCAGCATTGCAGCGCGCGCACTTAACCACCAAGCCACAGGGCTGGCCCATAGGACAGAGATGACCACTCTTTTTTTTTTTTTTTTTTTTTGTGAGGAAGATCAGCCCTGTGCTAACATCTGCCAATCCTCCTCTTCCTTTACTGAGGAAGACTGGCCCTGGGCTAACATCTATGCCCATCTTCCTCTACTTTTTTTTTGGGACGCTGCCACAGCACGGCCTGACAAGCAGTGCGTCGGTGCGCGGCCGGGATCCGTACCGGCGAACCCCAGGCCGCCGCATTGGAGCGCGTGCACTTAACCGCTTGCGCCACGGGGCCGGCCCCGGGCCCTAGATTCTGATGACCCCTAGTCAGGGCAGAAACTTCATGCTTCCTGATTTGCTGCAGCAGGAAAAGCACAGAACCAGGGATTGGGGTACTTGTGGTTGAGTCCCAGCTCTGCCGTTTGCCAGACATGGTGTCCTTGGGCCAGGCACTTAGCGCTCAGAGCCTGGAACAGGGGTAAACCCCTAGGATGGTGGGAGAGGATTAGGTGAGTGATGTTTGTCAAGAGCCTGCTGCATGCTAGGGACTCGATGGATAATTAGTTCTTTCCATCCTTCCCCTGGGCTCCTCTGCTTCCGGTTCCTGTGGCCTGACTCTGTCCATCCCTGGGACGTTATGGTGGGGCACCCCTGTGAGTTTGAAAGTTTACGCTCTGTAGCACCAAGGAAAGAAACGGGCTTTGGAGCCAGACAGTTCTGGTTCAGACACCAGCTTCTCCCGTAACCCATGGTGAAATCCTTGGCAAATAACATAACCTCTCGAACTTCAGTTTCTTCGTCTATAGAATGGGGATAATAATCGCCACTTCAAGTCATTGTGAGGATGAAGTGCTTGACACGTAAATTTGGTGAAAGAATGATGGTGTTTGCCCCTGGAGGTGGCTGCTCATGCTCTGTGAGGGCTGCCCACCTGCTGGCCACGTTGTGGCCCCATCATCACTCCTGGGCAGGCAGAGTAGCCCTGGTCACTCAGGCCTTCAGGCTCTTCGGGCAGGTCAGTTGGCTGAGGCTTAACAGCAGGCCCTCGGGCTCAGACCTCCCTTCAACTGTGAGGAGGGAGTTATTTATCCCATTTAACAGATGAAGAGACCGAGGCAGTGTCTCCAAGGTCATGTATCTCATAAAAGGAGTCACCTGCCTGCAGAGCTCAGAGCCCCATGTGGGTAAGGGCGACAGTGGTCAGGCGGGCAGACCTCCCTGCCTCAGGGAATTCTGGGTGTTTTCAGCACTGACCGCTGTCCCGCATCTGGGGTGTGTGAAGTGGTGCTGTGTCTAACCCTGCTCTGCTCCCACAGCTCCTCCCTCACATCCCCCCCATGGTGGCCTCTCTGGTCAAGGAGGACTCCAACTCAGGGACCAGCTGCCTGGAGCAGCTGGCGGAGCTGGTCCACTGCATGGTCTTCAGGTTCCCGGGCTTCCCGGACCTGTACGAGCCCGTCATGGAGGCCATCAAGGTGCGTGACAATCCCCCACTCCTCTGTTGCCCCACTCGGACAAGGGTGCCAGTTTGGGCCTTGCTCAAGGCCATACTCCAGGTTAGTGGCAGCCTCCATCATTTGATCCTGGCTCTCTCCCGTCACCTCCCCCAGCCCATCCTGTGCTCAGGCACACTGAGCCACCTGCCCTTCCCTAAATGGGTCATCCTCTCTCTTGATTGCTCTGAGCCTTTGCATATGCCCTTCTCTCCAATTGTAAACCCTTCTCTGTTCTGCCTGGATGGCTCCTACGTATTCTTTAAGGCTCTGCTCCCTCAGGTGTTACCTCCTAAGTGTCACCTCCCCCAGGAAGCCTTCCCTGATAACTCTCAATTTCCTACCCACCCCAGGCTGACTCAGGGTCTCTCTGGGCTCCCACAGCCCCAGTGCATCCCTCTGTTACATGTTGTCACTCTCTCTCTGTGTGTCTGTCTCTCCCCAGACTGAGCACTCCAGAGCAGGGATTGTTTACAGTTGCTCACATGACTTTACTGATGCCCTACTCTGTGCCAGGCCCAGGCTGGGAACTGGGGACACGGGCATGAGGCAGACTAAGTCCCCCCCATTGAGGAGCTTGCAGGCTAGTGGGGTGACAGACTTGTATACAAGTAACTCTGATCTAAGCAGCTTATGAAATGCCTGTGAGAGTTGGCCCAAGAGCAGGGAGGAACCAGAGGAGGGAAAGATCTTCTCCAGTTAGAGGAGGAGGCTACAAGGAAGAGTGGGCTTCTGACCTGGGCTTGCTAGGTTGCTAAGACAGTAACTAACATTTGTAGACGGTGCCACATCGATAGCGTTTTCCCATATATTTTGTTTTCTGACGCTCACGAGAAACCTGTGAAGCAGGTATTGTGATTCTGTCAGTTTCATAGATGAGAGAAATGAGACCTGGAGAGGTTTGGTGATTTGTGAGAGACACAGCCAGAGCCCTGGGTTGCTGAGCCCTTTCCCATTGCCTGATACAGAGGGCAGGTCCGAGCTTGGGTGAAAGAGGTCTAGGTAGGTGGTGGCCCTTTCAGAACCTCTGATCTGACTTCCATTTCTGTAGTACAGGAGATAAAAAACCTGAAAAGTGTCCCACTACGAAACACCTAGAAAGGCTTGTTAAAATACAGCAAATGTCTTTTTAAGTATGTAGCTGAGCTTGCAAGAAAGTAAGGTCGAATCCCCAGGGGCCAGAAAGGAAGAGAAACCGAATTCCAGACTGGTAAGTGAGAGATGATGCTCTCTTGCCTCGGGGTGGGGACGGACGGTGGGTGGGATGGCCAGCCTCAGTCACCAACGGGCTTGAGCTGGTGGGGCAGGAGGTGAGGCTTAGGGCCTGTCCCCAGTATGGAGTTAGCACTATGAGGCCCACATAAGTTAGGACCCAAGACAGTTTTTACCGTTAGCAAAAGAGTGGTCTAGAAAAAATATACACATGGTCCCAAATAGACATCAAGGAAACTTTTCTGGCTTGATCTGGGCTCTGGATTGGGAAAAAAGAAATTTGTAATCATTGGCCCGCCCTCATGTGGATTTAGGGGTTTAATGCTTATCTTCTTTGGGGTTGTGGGACCCCTAAGTTCAGACAACAACATTAAAAGTAGTCATAAACTTGTAATACCCAAGGATTGCCTAGTAGAAACAGAAATGAAACTGCTTGCAAGTCACAAAGATAAAATTCTACTAAAGATGAGTTTTTTCTTCTTTTTTTGCGAGGAAGATCGGCCCTGAGCTAACATCTGCCAATCCTCCTCTTTTGTGCTGAGGAAGACTGGCCCTGGGCTAACATCCATGCCCATCTTCCTCCACTTTCTATGGGACGCTGCCACAGCATGGCTTGCCAAGCAGTGCATCGGTGCGTGCCTGGGATCCGAACTGGCGAACCCTGGGCTGCCGCAGCAGAGCACGTGCACTTAACCGCTTGTGCCACCGGGCTGGCCCCCTAAAGATGAGTTTATAATCCACAAATTACAAAACACACAAGGGAACAATCCACCATGAGTGAGAGTGGGTAGATACAAGAAACGAAACCTCTGGCATTTACTTGGATCTTCTCAGTTTTTCCACCTTAACATGCGAATTTTTTAATAGTCAGAGCTAACCTACAATAGAAGCGGCTGCCTTGCTAGATCATGAGCTCCCTGTCACTGAGGTGGGTGAGCAGAGGAGACAGGACTTCCACTTGTTGGGGGTGACTGTTACTGCTTCCTGCTGGATGGTGAGCTTCTGGTAGGCAGGGACCACGTCATTTTGATCTCTGTGCCCGGTAGATGTGTGTGAGTGAATGAACATGCCCGTAGTGTGAAGGATGCTATCAGGCAAGTGTGAGTGAAGAGGAGGGAGCATGGCCCTGCACTGAACACTGAGGGAAACCCATGCTGAGTGAGACCCAGGCTTTGCAGTAGGGGCTATAGTCTGATCCAAGGGACAAGGTGAGTCTGCAAACACCTGTAGCACTAGGTGCAGGGAGTTAGGCTTTATTAGACTGGTAAACGTAGACTTTGAGGGATGGAAACTCGCAGGAGGAGGCCACTCCACATAAGTCAGAGGGAAAGGCATGGGGGTGGGAACGTGCAAGTCCAATTTGGCCATAGTGTTCTGTGGACTGGAGGGGAAATCAGAAATATCAGCAGGGCAGAGGGCCTTGAAAACCAGGCTGAGTGACTCTGCTGAATCCAGCAGACCTGGGCTTCTCAAACGTTTCCACCGAAGTGCTTGACCTCAGAGGAGGGGACTTACCCCAAGCAGCCTGACACAAGCTCAGAGTTTCTCTAAAATCTCATTTTATTTCGAAGATTCAAGTATGTACTTCATAATTACAAACATTTGTTTTGATATAAATATATTTTTCTTCCTTGACTATTAGAGACTATAGCTCCAGGAAGATATGCTAATTTTTTTTTTGATGAGGAAGATCAGCCCTGAGCTAACATCTGTTGCCGATCGTCCCCTTTTTGCTGAGGAGGATTGGCCCTGGGCTAACATCCGTGCCCATCTTCCTATCTTCCTCTACTTTTTATGTGGGATGCCGCCACAGCATGTGGATATGTGGTGTGTAGGTCTGCGCCCAGGATCCGAACCTGCGAACCCCTGGCCGCTGATGCAGGGTGCACGAACTTAACCACTACACCACCAGGCCGTCCCCAAGATATGCTACTTTTGTCCTGTGGTTTTGAATACCCCTTGGTACAAGCCAAGGCACGGCAGCAAATTATCCATAAGATTTTATTGTTTATAAAATTCTTTCACATGCATTCTACGAATACATCCTTCTTTGTATACAGGCTTCTTAATAAATTCTGGAAAGTTCTCTCACTTAGGCAGTTGTATCAGGTTACAGTAGTTTCTCTGGGAACTGTGGTCCTTACTAAGGGAGTCGTGTGGAAATTTCTAGTAACATGAGGAGCCTGAGCGTTATTTGGAAGTTTTGTTTTATTTTCCTGAGAATACAAAGTTACCTTCTGTGGGAAAAATGGCATTTAAGTGTTTTTTTCTGGTGTGGATATTTTTGCATCTTCTGTGTGTGCCTGCGTGCGGGTGTGGGGTTCTGTCTGTCTGCCTTTTTGTTCATGTTGTGTGTGGAGTGGGGATTGGATAGGGGAGAACAGGAAGGAAAAAGCAGGGACGGAGAGAGAAGGTACTGAGCCTCTGGCAGCTCCTGTATTTTGTATCATCTGTGAGAGGTGACTGACTAATCTGATAAATTATCTCATAAATGGTCCTGGGAAATGAGTGAGCAGAGTGTTAAACCACTGCTTGAGCCAGAGCTTCTGCAGTGGCCAGAGGACGTGCACCAGGGAGACGAGAGTGTTTGGTGCGAAGCTGGTTTGAAGCTCTGGAGCCCTGGACAAATCTAGGGACTGCTCAGGATCTGGAAATAAGAACAGGGCTGGAGGAACTGTTACGAATGTCGCTAAAATTTAGTAGGTAACTGCGTTACGCTTAGGTGTTTTTCTCTAAAATATATCATTATTAGAACCAGTGCTTGGTAATATGCTTTTAGGTGCAGCTGTGTAATGTGAAAAAGGATAAGGAGTGGGAAAGCGTGCTAATCCCCGAGCCCGTGACCCAGGACCCATACCTCAGACCCCCGGCATCCTCCCACCGTCCTGTCTGTAGGATCAAGTTCCAGGGGGATGACTGATTCAAAAAAGCTGACTCTGCAAACCTAAAAGTAGGAGGTGAACGAGAGCATCTTTGTGTGTGAGCACCGTGAAAGTATAGAGTGCCAAACTGATCGAGGGGAGGAGTATCCTCACTTGACAGACGAGGAAACTGAGGCCCAGGGAGGTTAACTGGCTCAGTCAGAGGGGACAGCTAGTGAGGACAAGAGTCAGGACTAGGATTGAGATCTTGACCCTGCTGGTTCTGGCTGGTGGGCCAGTGTTGTCATTGCTGAGAGTCTGTCACACGCCGGGCTCTAAGGACATACAGATTCTTTGCTTAGTGCCTATATGACCCCGGAAAATTCTTTTATCTGTCTGAGTCTTGGTTTTTTCATCTAATAAAATGGGGATTTTACTACCTTCTTGAGGCAGTTGTGACATGAAATATCATGTAGAAGGCCCATATGTCAAAATGAGAACCAAGAATAAGTTTGGAAACAGGGCTGTTCGCACACATCTCTAGAACATTTGTGGGGCGGTCTGCCTGGGCAGTTGTGGGGTAGGTTGTAGTCCAAGAAGGCTTCCTGGAGGAGGTGATATTTTTAGAGCTGACCCTGGCCCCCACCGTCCTGCTGGCTTGTTCCCTCCTCAGGACCTCCATGTTCCCAACGAGGACCGTATCAAGCAGCTGCTGGGGCAGGATGCCTGGACTTCTCAGAAGAGCGAGCTGGCTGGCTTCTACCCCCGGCTCATGGCCAAGTCAGACACGGGCAAGATTGGCTTAATCAATCTGGGCAACACGTGCTACGTGAACAGCATCCTTCAGGCCTTATTCATGGCTTCCGAGTAGGTGCTGCTTTTGAATTCCTTGTCTGCCTCTGCTTCTCCCCTTTGAGCTCCCTGGTGGGTGGAGGTAGGGGTGGGGGTTGGAGAGGGTGGGTCTTGCTTTGCATTGTTGGCATAATTCCTTGAGGTCTGTGGATACATGAAGGGCAGATGCGAGGTCCCAGAGGGCTCCAGGCCGTTGCCAAGACAAGAGGTCAAGACTGGACGACAACTCGAGATGGGGCGGGGCTGCAGTGGGAAGGGGGTCTGCTTTGAGTTGGTTGATGTCACTGACATTTCTCCTCAAGTCCATGGTGGTGGATTGTGTCTTCTAGAGTAGAACTCCCACTCACCCTGGTAATAGACGTGCCCCCCTCTTTACTAAAACAAAATCTTTATTGTCAGTGGCTACTGTCCAAGTTATGGCTTGCTTAAAAATCACTCAAGGTCTCAGCCACAGAAGTAGACATCTTTTAAAAATACTTTCTATTTTTGTGTGTGTTAAAATGCACATAACATAAAATTTACCATCTTAACCATTTTTAAGTGTACAGTTCAGTGGTATTAAGTACATTCACATTGTTGTACAGCTGTCACCACCATCCATCCCCATAACCCTTTCACCTTAGAAATCTGGAAATCTATACTTATTAAATAATAATTCCCCATGTTCCCATTGTCCCCTCCCCCCAGCCTCTGGCAGTCACCGTTATACTTGTGATTTTGTGTCTCCTCTTAAGTACCTCATATAAGTGGAATCATATAGTATCTGTCTTTTTGTGATTGGCTTATTTCACTTAGTGAATGTCCTCAAGGTTCTCCATATTGTAGCATATTGCAGAATTTCTTTCCTTTTTAAGGCTGAATAATATTTCACTGTATGTTTATACTACATTTTGGTAATCTCTTCATTGGTTGATGGACAGATGGGTTGCTTCCATGTTTTAGCTGTTGTGAATAATACTGCTCTGAACATGGGTGTACAAATATCTCTTTGAGACCCTGTTTTTGATTCTTTTGGGCATATACCCTGAAGTGGAATTGCTGGGTCATGTGGTAGTTCTATTTTTAATTTTTTGAGGAACCTACATACTGGTTTCTGTAGTGGCTGTGCCAATTTATCTTCTACCAACGGTGCACAAGGGTTCCCTTTACTTCACATCTTTGCCAACACTTGTTATTTCTTGTCTTTTTGATAATAGCCATTCTAACAGGTGTGAGGTGATACCTCATTATGGTTTTGATTTGCATTTCCCTGATGATTAGTGATGCTGAGCACCTTTTCATGTACCTGTTGGCCATCTGTATGTCTTCTTTGGAAAAATGTGTGTTCAGATCCTCTGCCCATTTTTTAATCGACTCGTTTGGTTTTTTTGCTATTGAGTTGTATGAGTTCTTTATATACTCTGGATGTTAACCTCTTATCAGATATGATTTGCAAATATTTCCTCCCATTCTGTAAGTTGCTTTTTCATTTTGTTGATGGTTTCCTTTGCTATACAGAGCTTTTTAGTTTGATGTAGTCCTACTTATTTATTTTTGCTTTTGTTGCCTTTGCTTTTGGTGTCAAATCCAAAAAACATTAACAAACCAGTGTCAAGGAGCTTAGCTAATCCTGTGTTTTCTTTTAGGAATTTTATGGTTTCAGGTCTTATGTTCAAGTCTTTAATCCATTTGAATTGGTTTTTGTGTATGGTGTAAGATAGGGGTCCAGTTTTGTTCTTTTGCATAGGGCTATCCAGTTTTCTGAACACCATTTATTGACGAGACTATCCTTTCCCCATTGGATAGTCTTGGCTCCTTTGTCATAAATTAATTGACCATATATGTGTGGGTTTATTTCTGGGCTCTCTATTCTGTTCCATTGATCTGTGTGTATGTGTTTTTGCCAATACCACACTGTTGTGTTTACTATAGCTTTGTAATATAGTTTGAAATCAGGGAGCATGATGCCTCTAGCTTTGTTTTTCTCTCTCAAGATTTTTTGGCTATTTGGGGTCTTTTGTGATTCCATACAACTTTTAGGATTGTTTGTTCTATTTCTGTGAAAAATACCATTGGAATTTTGATAGAGATTACATTGAATCTGTAGATTGCTTTGAATAGTATGGACAGTTTAACAATATTAAATCTTCCAGTCCATGAGCATGGAATATCTTTCCATTTATTTGTGTCTTCAATTTCTTTCATCAATTGCTTATAGTTTTCAGTGTACAAGTCTCTCACCTCCTTGGTTAAATTTATTCCTAGATATTTTATTCTTTGTGATGGAATTGTAAATGGGATTGTTTTCTTAATTTCTCTTTCTGATAGTTTGTTATTAGTGTATAGAAATGCAACAGATTTTTGTATACTGATTTTGTATCCTGCAACTTTACTGAATTCATTTATTCTAACAGGTTTTTGGTTGAGTCTAGGGTTTTCTGTATATAATATCATGTTATCTGCAAATAGTGACAGTTTTACTTCTTCTTTTTACATTTAGATGCCTTTTATTTCTTTTTCTTGCCTAATTACTGTAGCTAGGACTTGCAGTACTGTGTTGAGTAAGAATGGTGAGGGTGGGGATCCTTGTCTTGTTCCTGATTGAATATGGTGTTAGCTGTGGGCTTGTCATATCTGGCCTTTATTATGTTGAGGTACCTTCCCTCTATACCCACTTTGTTGAGAGGTTTTATCATAAATGGGTGTTGAATTTTGTCAGATGCTTTTTCTGTATTTATTGAGATGATCGTGTGATATTTATTCTTCATTTTGTTAATGTGGTGTAGCACATGGATTGTTTTGTGGATGCTGAACCATCTTTGCATCCCTGGCATAAGTCTTATTTGATCATAGTTTATGATCCTTTTAATGTATTGTTGAATGTGGTCTCATATTCTGTTGAAGATTTTTGCATCTTTGTTCATCAGGGATATTGGCCTGTAATTGTCTTTTCTTGTAGTGTCCTTGTCTGGTTTTGGTATTGGGGTAATGCTGGTCTTGTAAAATGAGTTTGGAAGTATTCCCTCCTTCTGTTTTTTGGAAGAGTTTGAGAAGGATTAGTATTAATTCTTCTTTAAATGCCTGGTAGAATTGACCAGTGAAGCTCTCTGGTCCTGGTCTTCTCTTTGTTGAGAGGTCTTTGATTACTGATTCAATCTCGTTACCAGTACAGGCATACCTCGGAGATATTGCAGGCTTCATTCCAGACCACCACAATAAAGCAAGTCACACAAATTTTTTGGTTTTCCAGTGCATAGAAAAGTTACGTTTAACTGTACTGTAGTCTATTAAATGTGCAGTAGCATTCTGTTTTAAAAAAACAATGTACATACCTTAATTGAAAAATACTTTATTGCTAAAAAATGCTAACCGTCGTCAAGCCTTCAGCACAGCAAGTCATAATCTTTTTGTTGGTGGAGGGTCTTGTAAAAAAAAAAAAAAAAAGCAATATCTGGGGCCGGCCCAGTGGTGTAGTGGTTAAATTCACCTGCCCCGCTTTGGCAGACCAGGGTTCGTGGGTTCAGATCCTGGGTGTGGACCTATGCACCGCTTGTCAAGCCATGCTGTGGCAGGCATCCCATGTAAAGTAGAGGAAGATGGGCACGGATGTTAGCCCAGGGCCAGTCTTCCTCAGCAAAAAGAAGAGATTGGCAACAGATGTTAGCTCAGGGTTAATCTTCCTCACACGCAGACACACACACACACACACAAATGCAATATCTGCGAAGTGCAATAAAATGAGGTATGCTTGTAATTGGTCTGTTCAGATTTGTTTCTTCGTGGTTCAGTTTTGACAGGTTGTATGTTTCTAAGAATTTATCCATTTCTCCTAGGTTGTCCAATTTTTTTGGTGTATGATTGTTGATAGTGGTCTCTTATGATCCTTTGTATTTCTGTGGGATCCGTTGTAATCTCTTGTCTTTTTCTTTTTTTTTTTTGAGGAAGATTGGCCCTGAGCTACTATCTGTTGCTAGTCTTCCTCCTTTTTTCCTTTTTTTCCTCCCCAAAGCCCCACTAGCTAGTTGTGTGTCATAGTTGTACATCCTTCTAGTTGCTCTATGTGGGACACCGCCTCAGCATGGCTTGATGAGTGGTGAGTATGTCCGTACCTGGGATCCGAACCTGCAAACTCTGGGCCGCCAGAGCGGAGTGTGTGAACTTAACCACTACACCACCAGGCTGGCCCCTAATCTATCCTCTTTTATTTCTGATTTTCTTTATTTGAGTCCTCTCTCACTTTTCTTGGTGAGTCTATTTGAAGTTTTGTCTATTTTATCTTTTCAAAAAACCAGCTCTTAGTTTCATTGATCTTTTCTGTTGTCTTTTTAGTCTCTAATTCATTTTTTTCTGCTCTTTTTTATTTCCTTCCTTCTACTAACTTTGGGCTTCGTTTGTTCTTTTTCTAGTTCCTTGAGGTGTAAAGTTAGGTTATCTGAGATCTTTCTTGTATCGTAATGTAGGCATTCATTGCTATGAACTTCCCGCTTAGAACTGCTTTTGCTGCATTCCATAAGTTTTGATAGGCTGTATTTCCATTTTCATTTGTCTCAAGGTAGTTTTTGATTTCTCTTTTGATTTCTTCTTTGACCCATTGGTTGTTCAGTAGCATGTTGTTTAATCTCCACACATTTGTGATTTTTCCAGTTTTCTTCTTGTAATTGATTTCTAGTTTCATACCATTGTTGTTGGAAAAGATGCTTGATATGGTTTCAATCTTAAATTTATTAAGACTTGTGACATATGTTAATATAATCTATCCTGGAGAATGTTCCATGTGTGCTTGAATAGAATAATAGAACATGTATTCTGTTGCTTGTGGCTGGAATGTTCTGTGTATGTCTGTTATGTCCATCTTGTCTAACTTGTCATTTAAGCCCAATGTTTCTTTATTGATTTTCTCTCTGGATGATCTATCCATTGATGAAAGTGGGGTATTAAAGTCCCCTACTGTTATTGTATTGCCATCTATTTCTCCCTTTAGGTCTGTTAATATTTGCTTTATATATTTAGGTGCTCCTATGTTGGGTGCATAAATA